GCTCCAGTCTGGGCAACAGAGTGAGACTCCAACTCAAAAAAAAAAGAAAAAGAAAAAAAAGAAAATGGAGACAGATATACCACACAAACACTAATCAAAAGGAAGCTGGGACAGCTATACTAAGACAAATGAGACTTCAGAACAAGCGATCAGAAATAAAGAGGGACACTACATGATGATAAAAGGGTCAATTCATCATGAAGATATAACAATCTAAATGTATGTATATGTGAGTACAGATCTTCAAAATACACAAAACAAAAACTGACAAAACTGAAAGGAGAATGACAGACATCCACAAAATGGCATGCAGACTTCAATGTCCCTTCTCAGAAATTCTTAGAACAGTAGATATAAAGTTAGTAATGATACAGAAAACCTAAACAACGCATACTCCCTCCCACATACTTTTACAATAACCAGCCATTGTTCACAAGATTTGTAACTTAGATAACACATGCCTAAGACTGGTCTTTTGAGATGTTTTTCAACGACCTAGTCTTATTTGACATTAATAGAACATTCTACCCAATAGCAGCATATTACACATCATTTTCCAATGCTCACAGAACACTGACCACAATAGAACATATTGAAACTGAACTGTCTTTGTAAAATAAATAAAAGGTCACAAAGTTAAAACTGTTATAGGGGCCTGAATTCTGTCACGTCCTGACCTCTGGGGGAAACGGCCACAAGGTTGATGTGCTTATTTTCTGAGAAAGAAAAATGAGCCCTTAACATCATGCAGCCCTGCTTGATGACATCCAGAAGTTTGACTGACTGACAGAGGAGAGCAGCTTTGATCACTGGGGATTCCCCCTGCCACATACTTTTACAAGGACCAGCTATTGTTCACAAGATGTATAACTTCCCCAATTGTTCCCATAGATTACACATGCCTAAGACTGGACTTTGAGATGTTTTTCAAATTTTGCATTCTGGTGGACTGACAGATATGGCCACCTGAACTCCTGACCAAGGAATGGACTCAACTCACGTGACCTGTGCCCAGGAACTGACTCAGCATACACGAAGACATTTTCGATACCCCTATGATTTCACCTCTAACCAATCCACAGTCCCAATTCCCTAGACTTCTGCCTGCAAATTATTCTTAAAAACCCTTGACTATGGTGGGTGTGGTGGCTTACACCTGTAATCCTGGCACTCTGTGAGAGTAAGGAAAGAGGATTGCTTGAGCCCAAGAGTTGAAGACCAGCCTGGAAAATATAGAGATATCTTTTTTTTTTTTTTAGTTGGAGTCTCACTCTGTCGCCTAGACTGGAGTGCAGTGGCCGCTCCCGGCCACCGCAGCCTCGACCTGCTGGGCTCCGGCGATCCTTCCGTCTCAGCCTTCCAAGTAGCTGGAACTACAGGCGCGCGCTACCACGCCTGGCCAATTTTTTGATTGATTGTAGAGATGAGGTCTCGCCAAGTTGCCCAGGCGGATCTTGAACCCGTGGGCTCAGGCAATTCACTCACCTCAGCCTCCCAAGGCACGGGATTACAGGCTGAGCCACTGAGCCTGGCTGAGATATTTTGTTTCTACAAAAAAATAAAAACATTAGTTGTAAAAAAAAAATAAAAATAAAAACATTAGCCAGGCTTAGTGACATGCACCTGCATTCCCAGCAACTTGAAAAGATGAGGTATAAGGATTGCCTGAGCCTAGGAAGTCAAGGCTGCAGTGAGCTGTGATTGTGCCACTGCATACCAGCCTGGACAGTAGAATGAGACCTGGTTCCAAAAAAAGTAAAAATAAAAAACCAACAAACCCTCGTCTCTGAATTCTCAGGGAATTCTCCTGTTAGCTGCTCTGCAATTTTTAAATTATTTCACTACTGCAATGACTACTATCTTCAGTATAACAGCTTTTCTGTGTAGTAGGCATAAAAACCTGGGAGACTACAACAATACTCTGGGCCATAAAATGAACCCTGACAAAATGAAAGTGAATTGAAATGTCAAAAGATGTCTTCTAGCCACAATAGAACTAAAAATCAGTTACAGAATGAATCTGGAAAATCTCCAAATATTACAAAACTAAACAACATACTTCTAAATAAGTCATGGGTCAAAGAGAAATTCACAAGGGAAATATAAGAAAATATTTGGAATTGAATGAAAATAAAAATACATCATATCAAAATCCACAGGACATAGCTAAAACCATGATTAGAGGGTAATTTATTAAGGGCTTACATTAGAAAATAAATGAATAAATATCTCAAACAAGACATGATCTAAGCTGCCATCTTAAGAAACTAGAAGAACACAAGAACTCAAAGGAAACAGAAGGAAGGAAACAAGATATGAGCAGAAATTTAACACAAAAAGACAATAGGGGGGGGAAAAAAATCAATGAAACCAAAAGCTAAATCTTTCAATACACATGATAAACCTCTATCTAGAATGATTTAAAAAAAAAAAAAAGAGGTCACAAATTACCAATGTAAGAAATGAAAGGAGACATGACAACAGATCCTACAGACATTAAAAATAAGGTAGTATTATTACAATTTTATCTTCATTAATTTACAACTTAGAGAAAATAGACCAAAGAATTCCTTGAAAGATACAAACTACCAAAACCCACTTAAGAAATGAATAACCTGACAGTTTCTATAATCTCTTGAAGAAATTGAATTACTAGTTAAAAACCTGACAAAGAAAAACTTCAAGCTCAGATAGCTTTATTGACAAATTCTATCAAACATTGAAAAGAAGAAAAATATCAATTCTACAAAAACTATTCTAGAAAAGAGAAGAGGAGGGAACACTTCCTAAATCATTTTATGAAGTCAGCATAACTTCAATTTTAAAACTAGACAAAGACAATATAAGAAAGCTACAGACCACCTGGCGTGATGGCTCATGCCTATAATCCCAGCACTTTCTTTGGGAGGAAGAGGTAAGAGGATTGTCTGAGTCCAGGGATACAAGACCAGCCTGGGCAACTTGGTGAGACCTCATCTCTACAATAAAAAATTTTTTTAAAAATTAGCCAGGTGTGGTGGCACTTGCTTGTGGGTTCAGTTACTTGAAATGCTGAGGCAGAAGGATCACCTGAGCCCAGCAGGTCGAGGCTGCACTGGCTGTGCCACTACACTCCAGACTAGGCAAAAGAGTGAGACTTCAACATACACAAAAAAAATTACAGCCCAATATTACTCAAACATAGATACAAAAATCTTCAACTAAATATTAGCAAAACAGATCCAGAAATATATAAAAAACAGCAAATATCTTTTAAAGGCTTTAATCATGCTTTTATTTTGACCTGAGATGACCCCAAAGACAAATGGCATCTGATTCCATACTAAATTAAGTTCTGATATAAGCATACAATTTTACAAATCCAACTTTACAGACCAACTTCCAAAGAAAAGGCACAGCAACAACTCAACTTAGGAAATTAAGATGCAGAATTTTTTTTTTTTTTGAGGGGGGAGGATAGAGATAGGGTCTCACTCTGTTGTCCATGCAGGACTTGAACCTCAAAAAATCCTAGCCTCAAAAAATCCTCTTGCCTCCACCTATCAAAGTGCTGGAATTACAGGTATAAGCCACCACACCCAGTCAAGAAAGAGATCTTTTTTTTTTTTTGAGTAGGAGTCTCACTCTGTTGCCCAGGCTAGAGTGCAGTGGCATGCTCACGGCCACCACAGCCTCAACCTGGTGGGCTCAGGTGATCCTTCCACCTCAGCTTTCCAAGTAGCTGGAACCACAGGCGTGCACCAAGTTGCCCAGGCTGCCCTTGAACCCCTGGATTCCGGCAATTCCCTCACCTCGGCTTCCCAAAGTGCTGGGATTACAGGCAAGAGCCATGGCGCCCAGCAAGAAGACCTGCTGGGTTCCGGCAATCCTTCCGCCTCTGCCTTCCAAGTAGCTGGAACTATAGGTGTGCGCTACCAGGCTTGGCTAATTTTTTTTATCTTTTGTAGGGACGAGGTCTCACCAAGTTGCCCGGGCTGGTCTCAAATCTCAGGCTCAGGCAATCTACTTGCCTCGGCCTCCCAAAGTGCTGGGATTACAGGCTGAGCCACCGAGCCCAGCCAAGAAGCAGATCTTAATGGTAGTTGAAACATTACAGAATAAACTTCAGGGTCACAAGTAAACTCTAAACTCATGTACATACATTCAGCTAAAGGGTGGTGATGCTACATTCTTGATTTCTTTCTTTTTTTTTTTTTGAGCAGAGTCTCACTCTGTTGCCCAGGTTGGAGTGCAGTGGCATGCTCACGGCCATTGCAGTCTCGACCTGCTGGGCTCAGGCAATCCTTCTGCCTCAGCCTTCCAAGTACTTGGAACTACAGGTACATGCCACCATGCCCGGCTAATTTTTTGATTTATTGTCAAGAAGAGGTCTCACCAAGTTTCCTAGGCTGGTCTCAAACCCCTGAGCTCAGGCAATCCTCTAGCCTCGGCATTCCATGAAGCTGGAACCACAGGTATATGACACTAAGCCCGACCAGTATTTTGATTTACTGTAGAGATGAGGTCTCGCCAAGTTGCCTAGGCTGGTCTTGAATCTCTGGGCACAGGTAATCCTCCACCTCCCAAAGTGCTGGCATCACAGGCGTGAGTCACCACACCTGGCTCATTACCAGTTTATACGAAAAAACTTAGCTCAGTTTCCTTAAAGTTCCCAAGATTATGACCCACAGCATAATCCCTAATCTATTTTCTGAACATATATAAACAGTTTGGCTTAAATACTTACCTTCAACCTGGTTAGTCTCTGAGCATGGTTTCTTCCTTGACTCTGAGTTCCCAGTTTTCTCATCACCATCCAGGAGAGGAATATAGTCTGTTTTTCCAACAGTTTCTCCCACAACATCATCATAGGCTTCTGCCTCCAGGGTGGCAATAAAGTCCCGCTTTATCTCTCCCTCAATTTCCGGAGATGGCTCTGTCAATGCATCTGCAAGACTGAGGTCAGCCATTCTGCACTGCTGCAACTACCTGGTTAAGGGGAAAAAGATGTTTCCTGTAATGAGTACTGCAAAAGGAAAAACATTCCTAGAAATTCTTGTCAGTTGTTATAAACAAACAAAAAAAATCTAAATCTAAAATTTTACAGCTAGAGGAGGCTCCCTCATTCGAAAGATGAGAAAATTAAAGCTCAGAAATGGATAGTCTTACCAAGATAAGTCATTCCTAGTTACTTTCTTCTCAAATTTCTGGAAAGTAGATAAAGCAAGTGCCACTATATTTTTCTATAAGAAAAACAGGCCAGGTACAGTGGTTCAAGCTTATAATCTCAGCACTTTGGGAGGCTGACGTGAGAGGATTGCCTGAGCCCGCGGGTTCAAGAACAGCCTGGGCAACTTGGCAAGACCTCATCTCTACAATAAATCAAAAAATTAGCCGGGAGTGGTAGCATGTGCCTGTAGTTCCGGCTACTTGGCATGCTGAGTCAAAAGGATGGCTGGAGCCCAGCAGGTCGACGCTGGGGTGGTCATGAGTGTGCCACTGTACTCCAGCCTGGGTGAAGGAGTGAGACTCGAACTCAAAAAAAAAAATTAGCTGGGTGTGGTAGTGCATGCATAGTTCCAGCTACTTGGAAGGCTGAGGCAGAAGGATTACCTGAGCCCAGCAGGTCGAGGATTCAGTGGTCGTGAATGTGCCACTACTGCACTCCAGCCTGGGTGACAAGGACTCCAACTCAAAAATACACACACACAGCCAGGCTCGGTGGCTCATCTTGTAATCCCGCACCTTTGGGAGGCTGAGGTGAGTGGATTGCCTGAGCCCGTGGGTTCGAGACCCGCCTGGGCAGCGAGACCTCATCTCTACAATAAAAAAAAAAAAATCAGCCAGGCGTGGTAGAGCATGCCTGTAATTCCGGCTACTTGGAAGGCTGAGGCGGAAGGATCGCCAGAGCCCAGCAGGTCGAGGCTGTGGGGCTGGGAGTGGCCACTGCACTCCAGTCTGGGCGACAGAGTGAGACTCCAACTCAAAAAACAAAAAAAGTGTACACACACACACACACACACACACACACACACACACACACGTCACATTTCCATGAAGAAGATTACTATCAAGCAAACGAAATCAACTTTCTTGACCAGACTGTGAAGATGGGCATTATCATGAAGCAAGTACTGCTTCTTTGTGAATCACTTGTGGATAGCCCTGTCAACGAAACTACAATGCTTAGCCCTGCCAGCATGAAAAAATAGACATATCCCCTCATGGGAGACGGTTCCTCTTTATAGTCATGTATATTACCATTTTTACAGAAAAGCAGGTCTTAATTTTTAAACATAATGAAAACCAAAGGTGAATAGCGTAGATTATTCAGAAATGACATTGAAAAAGAGTCAAAGGGTCTGCACAAAATTGAGCACCTGGTACATGCAAAGCACAATAGGAAGTAAAGTACGCAAGGTACTATTCCTGTTTTCAAAGAGTCTAACAGAAACTCCAAGAGACTTGATAAAGATGACATATGAGCTATATTAACTGACCAGCAAAATGTAAGTCAAACACACCAATCCTTAACTGCATCATGTAATAGCTATTACTTGCATTTACCCAGAAATCTATTCTTCTTTATCTCCCCCAATATAAACTAATCCCCAAATCCACAGGGTTAGGGACATTACTAGAGTTGGGCCAACCAGAATATAGGAAGAAAATGGGTGAACAGAACCATTTCATGACTACATCCTGAAAGAAAAGCCTATGGGTGACAGCTGTTAAGTTGCCCTGTCTTCTTTCTCAAGTCTAAGCGAGTGGCCTTCCAATAAATCTTCCCTTTGTCTAATTTAGTCAATCTATTTCTGTTGCTTGTAACTGAAGAATTCCAGCTAAAACACATTTTTCTTCTCCAACCCAAACTTGAAAAAGTTAAAATTTACTATGGTTTAAGTGCTTGATGGTCAGTTTTTCTTTCAAGACTTTGTCCACTGTCTACTTCTCTCCACAAAATGCACTTAGGAAAAATATATACAGCAAGGAATACGTCATTCTTTCTTCATGCCTGTCCCCCTATACTCCCCTCCTCCCACTTATACTATCCTTCTATGCTACAAATATGGAAGTCACAACCCTTTTTCAATCATTACTTTTTAGTTTCCTCCATAAGACCAAGCTTTGAGACTATCACAATTACAAAATATGCACAAAGCAGATACTTCCAGAACCCTAAAAATTAGAAGCCATTCCAACCCCAATTCCCAAATCTAACACCTAAAAGGTATTGCTTTATACTAGAGTGGTAGCATAAGGGCATGAGAGTCAAGATACTGAACCCAACTAGTATAGATTGCAAACTAAATCCTACTATAAAGTACCGAGGGGAAAATAAAGCCCAGGGGACAAGACCTACTTCTAGGTGAGTATCTAGAAAGAAAAAGGTAAAAGGCAAGGCGTGGTGGCTCCCACCTATAATTCCAGCACTTTGAAAGGTCAAGACAGGAGGACTGCTTGAAGTATTTGAGATGAGACTAGACCATATAGTGAAACCTGTCTCTTCAAAAAAAATTTTTTTTAAATAAGCCAGGTGTGGTGGCACGCATCTGGAGTCCCAATTATTCCCAAGGCTGAGGCGAAAGTATCATCTGAGCCCAGGAGGTGAACGCTATGATGAGTTGTGATAGTGATCATGTTATTGCACTCCAGCCTGGGCAAGGGAGTAAGACCTCAATTAAAAACCAACAAGCAAATAAACAAACTAAGATAATTTTGAGGGTGTGGATGGGGTAGGGAGGAGATAACATTGGTCAGAACAGGGAGTGTTGGAGGTGGTTTGTCCATACCTATATGGGGCTTTGGTGAACACACTAATAACATATTCTTTTTTTTTTTTTTTTGAGTTGGAGTCTCACTCCGTTGCCCAGACTGGAGTACAGAGGCTGCTCCTGGCCACCGCAGCCTCGACCTGCTGGGCTCCAGTAGCTGGAGCCTCAGTCTTCCAAGTAGCTGGAACTACAGGCGTGCGCTACCACGGCCGGCTGATTTTTTGATTTATTGTAGAGATGAGGTCTCGCCAAGTTGCCCAGGCAGGTTTCGAACCTGCGGGCTCAGGCAATCCACTCACCTCAGCCTCCCAAGGCGCGGGATTACAGCTGAGCCACCGAGCCTGGCTCATAACATATTCTTTATATTACATAAGAAAAAAAAATTGAATGTCAAGATTTGGAAAAATATTAAATAGTGAATTCACGTAGAGTTCCAAATAAAATCCTTTTTAAAATTTTAATGATAAAAATTTGAGCCTTCTTCCATGTGCCTAATTTTTTTTATATCAGGATCCTATTTGAAATGGCCACCTTAATTCCTCATCAAGAATTTTAGTTGGGCTCAGTGGCTCACACCTATGATCTCAGCATTTTGGGAGGCAGAGGCAAGAGGATTGCCTGAGTCCAGGGGTTTGAGACCCGTCTGAGCAACTTGGTGAGACCTTGCCTCCACATTAAGTAAAAAAATAAAAAATAAATAAATAAAAAATTTAGCTGGGCACAGTGGCCTATAGCTCCAGCTACTTGGAAGGCTGAGGTGGAAGGATTGTCTGAGTTCACCATATCAAGTCTGTGGTGGCCATGAACATGCTACTGTACTCCAACCTGGGCGACAAAGTAAGAGTCTGACTCAAAAAAAAATAAAAAAGAATTTTAAATTATCTTTTAAAATTCTAGATGGCCCCATAATATACAACGATGGTAGAGAGAGCCTTGTCTGATTAGTCTTTTTTTTTTTTTGAGTTGGAATCTCACTCTGTCACCCAGACTGGAGTGCAGTGGCTGCTTGCAGCCTTGACATGCTGGGCTCCAGCAATTCTTCCACCTCAGCCTTCCAAGTAGCTGGAACTACAGGCGTGTGCTACCACGCCCAGCTAATTTTTTGATTTATTGTAGAGATGAGGTCTCACCAAGTTGCCCAGGCGGATCTCAAACCCACGGGCTCAGGCAATCCACTCACCTCAGCCTCCCAAAGCACGGGATTACAGGCGGAGCCACTGAGCCCAACTAAAATTCTTGATGAGGAATTAAGGTAGCCATTTCAAATAGGAACCTGATATAAAAAAAATTAGGCACATGGAAGAATGCTCAAATTTTTATCATTAAAATTTTAAAAAGGATTTTATTTGGAACTCTACGTGAGTTCTTAAAGCAAATGTGATATTTAAATTTCCTTTGACTATACTAATGAGTTCTTAAATCATCTTTTTTCACATCTAGTATTTCCAAATAATGAAGCCTGCTGGAAACATACCCAAGTTGTGTGTGTGTGTGTGTGTGTGTGTGTGTGTGTGAGAGAGAGAGAGAGAGAGAGAGAGAGCCTTTCTATGTTGCCCAGGTTGAATTCAAATCTCAGGGGCTCACGTAAATCTGGGGCTCAAGCAAGTCTTCTTGTTTAGCTAGAACTATAGGTGCATACCACCACACCTGACTTTACCCTACCAATTTTAATAAAATTCAATTCCTTAAGAAAGAAAAAGGGCTAAAATCATCTTTTACTTTTGTGAAATGATTCATTTATAGCTTATTTTTTCAAAGCTGAATTTTTGCTTTGAAGCTATAAACTGTTATCATGCAATTAGATTGAGTTCACCGAGGTATTAAAAAATGTCAACTAAGAAATATTTGCAAGTCAGATGCAGTGGCATGCACCTGTATTCCTAGCTACTTAGGAGGCTGAGGTGGGAAGATCACTTGAGGCCAGTAATTCCAGGCTGCAGAGCACTATGAGCACATCTGTGAATGGCCCCTGCAATCCAGCCTGGGCAACACAGAGACCCTGTCCTCTAAAAAAAGAGAAGGAAATCTGCACACTCGCACAGTTTCCATCAATGGATAAATAAACAAACTGTGAGGCATGTAGACATCTACCTACTTACCTATCTCTCTATATACATCTACTAGCACCTTGATCTTGGAAGCTCCTAATCTCTAAAGCTTCGAGAAATAAATTTCTGTTATCACCCAGTCAGACTGGTCATGATGGTAGCTCAC